CTCAGTCCTGCAGCCCGAACAGCGGAGCCCTGATATAGCCGGCGCGGTCCCTCGGCAGCAGCCCGCGCTCGTCGCAGAAGGCGCGCGGCAGGCGCAGCACCCAGTACGCCGACGCCGACAGCTTGATGGCGGGAGCGCCCACCGGCTGCGGGATGAAGATCGGCCCGCCTGGCACTGGCTGTATCTGGAATTGAGATTTGTTACCGGTAAGATAAGGTTTGGTACGTTCACGTGGACCGAATTTGAGTATTAGTAATTTGTAGTGCATAAATTAGTAACGTTCTCGTTAGCTCAAATGTTATGCTTATACTTAATTAAGTTAAATTATATTGTAATTGCTTCCCAAAAATAAATAAATAATTCATTACAATAGCCTAGTGGTTGACGAAGATCAAGTTAGTGACCCCGGCAGTTCGATGCAGACACCGTCGGACTGGTGTCGTTTCGATTGATTGAGATGCAGGGCAATTAAAAGTGTAATTTCATTAGTTCAACGTAGAAGGTACATGCCACTTGTAGGGGTGACTTTTGCTACAATTTCTAAATTAGTTTATACACTAAGCTTGCCAACATAAGTCGTCGACTTTTTTGTCGGCGGATCGGATAACATACTTCTCCTTCCAAGTAGTAACAGTCGGCGGTTATTTGAGCTCAATACACAAGTCGGCGAACGACATGCGTGGATACGAGTTGCTGACATGTTTCTATTGTCCTAGTTTTGTGTGTAGAGTACTTAAATGTAATGGTACGCACCTTAGGGTCCAGCGTGACGTGCACGGGCGCCTTGGGCGTGACCACGTGCACGGGCACGCGGCCGCCAGATGATTCGTGACGTCAAATGGTCTACTACATTGTCATAGGAACTGAAACCTTATCAACGCACCTTAGGATCGAACGTGACGTGCACGGGCGCCTTAGACGTGACGACGTGCACGCGGCCGCCAGTTGATTGGTGGAGTCAAATGGCCTATTACATTGTCATAGGATTTTTTTTAATCGAGGAAACTGTTGGCCTGTATCTCACCTGATGGTAAGTGATGATCAGCCCGAAGGTGGAAGCGAACTTCATCCGGAATCCTCAACCACGGAGGAACTGACTATCTTACCTCTAACTGCCGGAACACAACAATGCTGTTAACATTGTTGTTATGGCGACAGACTTAGGTAAGATGGTGGTAGCCAGACAGGCGTGACGACGAGCACGGGCACGCGGCCGCCAATTGATTGGTGGCGTCAAACGGTCTATTAGTGCGCCTTCACATTACGTCGCAAACAGTGCGGCGGCAGCGGCGTTTTTATAATGTGAAGGCAGGCATCCGCTGTCACATAGTATGAAATTATCGGCAGCGCGTCTGTCGCGCTGCTATAGTCACGCTACTTGCGACGTAATGTGAAGGCGCTCTTGCATTGTCATTGGAATTGAAACCTTATCAACGCACCTTAGGGTCCAGCGTGACGTGCACGGGCGCCTTGGGCGTGACGACGTGCACGCGCGCCAGCTGGGCGGGCGCCACGTGCGGCGCGCGGCANGATGACTTAATTCTTAAGTGAATAAAGGTATCTGCTTTAATCGAATCAATTCATCTGGGTGATAGTTTGTTCCGGCGTTTCTTCTCAGCACTTGCCATATGTTTGTCTCGAAGCGCTAGTAGGGCCCAAAAGATAAGGAGACATGTAAAGTGCCCCATAAGGATTACCTTTCTTTTTTTTTATTATTTACTATATTTTGACGTTCATAAGTGCCACTTGTGGTCTAAACTGAATAAATATTTTTGATTTTAATTTTTGATATCAACTGTGTGAACAAAGTGGAATAATCCCTCTTGTCTTTAGGGGTCTCGTCAGGGGTGTGCACTGTGCAGTGAGCGAAGGAGCCTCGCATAGCGAGCGCGCGCGGTGCGTTTCTGCGCAGGCGGCCTGCGGACGCCATAGAGTCTAACATTCCTACGCTACACTCACCTAGGTAATGATCATCATTTTAACCTCAAGACGTCCACTGTTGAACATAGCCCCCCCCCCTAATGATTTCCATCTCAGTTGGTTGGTAGCAGCCTGCATCCAGCACCTTCCTTCCACTTTATTGTGAGTACATCTCACGCTACGTTTTCCGATACGTGGTCTCCACTCCAGAACCTTGCTGTCCCATCGACTCAGTCTGTCATTATAGTCAGTATGTCAGTCAATACTCACTGGTTGGGCAGGATGCAGGGGTGCGCAGTGAGCGAGGGAACCTGCAAGCCAGCGCGGGCGCCATAGAGTCCAGCACGCCTAGCGCCACGCTCACCTAGTTGATGTTACAGCATTGGTCCCCAAACTTATTTGAGACGCGCCTCCTTTCAACCATACAAAAAATTCCGCGCCCCCCCCTCCTCCAGTCAAGATTATTTATTGGTCGTATCGAGCAGTCTGGACTCTGGAATGCATTCTCTCAGCGGTCGCAGGTTTTCTATACTTAAGTACACAGATGGCCCGCGCCCCCTTTGAAAGGCTTTTGCGCCTCCCCTGAGGGACGAACCAATGTGTTACAGCTTGTCACATACTGAGCGGTACTCACTGGTCGGGCAGGATGCAGGGGTGCGCAGTGAGCGAGGGAGCCTGCAAGCGAGCGCGGGCGCCATAGAGTCCAACACGCCTAGCGCCACGCTCACCTAGGAGATGTTACAGCTTGTCGCACGCTGAGCGGTACTCACTGGTCGGGCAGGACTCACTGACTACCTTGTTTAATATNCAATGGCTCCCGAGCGAATGCTAGGCGCCCGCGGTCGCCGCCGTCTCTTATATTAGCTCGGTCCGTGCGGCGTGCGGCAGCGCAGCGTTGTCAAAATCTCTGCGCTCGGTGCTAGGGCTGTCGATGCGTCGCGGGGCGCGTCACATCCTCCCTTGTTTTGGAGATTTTTACCTGGAAAAATCACAAGTCTGGTACATAAATGTTCTTTAAGAACAACTAAAGGTCATGATAATAATAAGTTATTTCTGGGTAACTTCGTGGCGAGTAAAAATTAAAATGTAAAACATGATTGAACTTGTACTTAATCGTTAGCCCAATAATAACTCCTTATTTAAAACATGACAGTACATTTATTTACTTATAACAATATTAGCTAACTTGATCTTGAAACAATGTTATTAAGGTACCCTTAATTTTTTTTTTTTTTGCTTACAATGAACTAATTAAGCGCTAATTTTAGCTAACTTAGTTTTGAAACAATATTATTAAGATACCTTTAATTTTTTTTTTTTGCTTACAATGAACTAATTAACCGCTAATTTTAGTTAACTTAGTTTTGAAACAATGTTATTAAAATACCTTTAATTTTTTTGCTTACAATGAACCAAACCAATGAACTAATTAAACGAGTTGTTTACTTTGTTATTACGAGTATTCAATTATTACTTGAAATATATTATTTTTTTATACAAAAATAGTATGCATGGCACTTGTTATTATTATTTCTAGTTTACTAGTTTAATTATTTAAATTAGCATACTCAGAACAGGCATCTAATTAATGTTATTAATTTCTACANTAACTTATCAAAAAATACTCTACACGTATTTTTCACTTTTTCAAACTAATGAAAATTTAAAGAGATAAAGCGCCCCAAAGTTCATAAGAAGAGGCCCGTGACGTCAACGCTTGCTTAAAAATGCCGCACGTTGTGACGTCGTGCGCAACTTCAACGCACCATAACTATGTAATTATTTGTTAGATTGACAAATAAAAATATACGTGTCCAATATTTTTTGATATTAAACATTACGGACTAAAAAAATTTTTTTAGGCAACTAGCCTAATCAGCCTAGGGCAGCCCATTGCTGGACATAAATCTTTCCCAATGCCACATAACCCGATTTCTCGCTTTATTCATGATGCTGGCCAATCTGAAAAGTAAATTAATTAAGTTAGGACCTCTCATATTCTTCCTGTAGATGTCGTATAAGACAAGAACAACTATGCGAACACCATTTTACCAGCGACAGGAGTGTAGTAAATAAGAGAGGATTGTGCTCATGCAGTGTAAACTAGTACCTTAACTATTAGCTTTATTTTCCAAGTGAATTGAGTCGATTAAAGCGGTCGCATTTGTTCACCTAGGAATTAATTCACCCAAGTGAAAAGATGCGAAAACCTGGATGACTTAATTCTTAAGTGAATAAAGGTATCTGCTTTAATCGAATCAATTCATCTGGGTGATAGTTTGTTCCGGCGTTTCTTCTCAGCACTTGCCATAATATGTTTGTCTCGAAGCGCTGGTAGGGCCCAAAAGATAAGGAGACATGTAAAGTGCCCCATAAGGATTACCTTTCCTTTTTTTATTATTTACTATATTTTGACGTTCATAAGTGCCACTTGTGGTCTAAACTGAATAAATATTTTTGATTTTAATTTTTGATATCAACAGTGTGAACAAAGTGGAATAATCCCTCTTGTCTTTAGGGGTCTCGTCAGGGGTGTGCACTGTGCAGTGAGCGAAGGAGCCTCGCACAGCGAGGGAGCGCGGTGCGCTTCTGCGCAGGCGGCCTGGGGGCGCCATAGAGTCTAACATTCCTACGTTACACTCACCTAGGTAATGATCATCATTTTAACCTCAAGACGTCCACTGTTAAACATAGCTCCCCCCCCTGATGATTTCCATCTCAGTTGGTTGGTAGCAGTCTACATCCAGCACCTTCCTTCCACCTTATTGTGAGTACATCTCACGCTACGTTTTCCGATACGTGATCTCCACTCCAGAACTTTGCTGTCCCATAGTCTCACTTAAGTCTATCACTATACGCAGTATGGCAGTCATGACTCACTGGTCGATCAGGATGCATGTGTGTGCAGTGAGCGAGGGAGCCTCGCATAGCGAGCGCGCGCGGTGCGCTTCTGCGCAGGCGGCCTGGGGGCGCCATAGAGTCTAACATTCCTACGCTACGACTACTCAACTCCAGAACCTTGCTGTCCCTTCACTTTCACTTAGTCTGTCACTATGCTTAGTATGTCAGTCGGTACTCACTGGTCGGGCAGGATGCAGGGGTGCGCAGTGAGCGAGGGAGCCTCGCACAGCGAGCGAGCGCGGTGCGCGGCGGCGCAGGCGGCTTGCAAGCGAGCGCGCGCGCCGCCGGCCAGCGGGCCGCGCGCCATGGACTCCAGCACGCCTAGCGCCACGCTCACCTATATTTTAATAAATAAATAAATCTTTGGACAATTTCACACAGCCTCAGCTAGCCCCAAAGTAAGCAACTTAATGCTTGTGTTATGGGTGCTAGCTTAACGGATATACTACTTATATACTTTTTTTTTTAATACATAAATATTATACATAGTCACACCCAGACCCGTCACAGAAATTAAAATTCATCATTTCAATTTCTGCCCNATAAATATTATACATAGTCACACCTAGACCCGTCACAGAAATTAAAATTCATCATTTCAATTTCTGCCCGGCCGGGAATCGAACCCGGGACCTCTCGGCATAGTAGTCCGTTCTGAACCACTACACCAAACGGCCGACCCTATAGGTAATATTATAACCGAACCTATAGGTAATATTATAACCATAAAGAAGTGACTACTTTATACCTATGAATAAAGACCATTTAATGCCAAGATCACAAAAGGAACGAGTGGATTAGAAAAAAGAGGGGGGTCAGCGACGTGGTGGAAGAGATTGAGAGCCGCAAATGGAGATGGGCAGGGCACATTGCTCGGATGAATCAAGATCGCTGGGCCAGAAAGACCCTGGAGTGGAAACCCCACAACAACACTCGCGGCAGGGGAAGACCGCCTAAGCGGTGAACAGACGACGCCCTTAGGCCGCTAATGCCCGTTTTCACCATCAAACCCTAATTTTAAGTGACCCCTATGGTAACACATAATAAGAAATTTTGTTCTAATAGGGTTCACTTAAAAATTAGGGATTAATGGTGAAAACGGGCATAAGCCACTCAGAATTTGTCTAATCTCAACGATTTAAATTAAGTATCGATACAGCACGTAATGTCACCTATTGAATAAGAGGCTGATACGCTGGTTATCATGGTCACTGTACACACATTGGCGTGTCATTATTTTTTATTGTGGCATGATAAAATAAAAACCTAATCAGATAAAAAAAATTAAAGCTTTATTAAATACATGTTTAAAAAATAAAACACCAACCTTATGAGCATGATGCTGTGTAGAATAATGTGATGGAAGACCTTCGGCGTACGATGCTTGCGCTATCGGTAGTACCTAAAAACAATAAAAAAATAAACAATGTTAATAACTTGCCCGTTTGGGAAATCTATCGCAAAAGGATAAAGACACCAAAGTGGAGACAAAGCGAGATGTACGGAGCTCTCATCAACCGTTTCCACTGAAGCTAAGCAGAGACGAGATGTGTAAATAACGAGAATCCTGTTGGTTGCTATAACTCATCATTCTCTATAACTATAACTCTTTCGTCTCGTAGAGCAAATATGGCAAAGCAATAAGGGGCTTAGGGCCTATTCACCTTAGCACACCTAGCCTGCGCTATAAAAACATGTCACATCCCCTAATTTCTAATGAGGAACCTATACCAAAGCAATAGGAGCCTATTTACCTTAGCACACCTTGCCTGCGCTATAAAAACATGTCACATCCCCTAATTTCTAATGAGGAATCTATACCAAAGCAATAGGAGCCTATTTACCTTAGCACACCTAGCCTGCGCTATAAAAACATGTCACATCCCCTAATTTCTAATAAGGAACCTATACCAAAGTCATAAGAGCCTATTTACCTTGGCACACCTCGCCTGCGAGAACCTGACATCAGTGGCGAGCGCATCAAAGAGCGCGCTGCCTGCGTCTTGGTCGCCGTCTTCCTCCAGGTATAGGGGAGTCAGCGCCTGCGCCGCGGACCGCCAGGCAGACGCGCTTGGCAGCTGAAACCAAAGGACAGTTGACACCATTATCAAACAGACCCAAGACATAAATTCTCTAAAAGAACATTTGATGACAAACGAAGATAATGACGTTTGATTGACGCCATATTGAATAAGGGTTTTCGCGAATGAAAAATAATAGACGCGAGGTCCAAATGCTGCATGATTGGTTATTTTTGACATGACATTGACAGATATGTCAAAATCCACCAATCACGCAGCAGTCAGACCCCACATCCACGTCCCGCCATCTAGCGGATCTTTCATTCGCGAAAACCCTCATTGTGATTGTATGTAAGACTTGATGGTGATGATGATTCATCCGATCGATTTAAGCCATGGCGAACACTTCGACTCCTAACTACGCTAGCTTACGTAGCCGATTTTCGCGGCTAACCCCCTCGCACATTGAGGGCATCTGAGCACCAACTACTGGCCGAATCGCGGGAGGTGTGCGCGGAATTGCGGCTACCTACGGCAGATTGCACTCCACCGCGCCACACTTCTTGACTCCCTACAAGTTATTTTTCTTTGTCCCTATAGTACAGTTTTCCCCCTTCTGGGGCTGAAAATCACTCCACGGATGACACCCTCTGGTGCCGTGCAGCGCTAGCGGTCCTCCTATGCCAGCCGAACGCGAATTCTCGTCACGCTAAGTCAAGTCAAAAGTCATTGATAACTCACCTCAAAGAAAGAAGTGCTCATCGCGTACTTCCCCACATTGTCATCGAAGCCCTCACTAAAGGCCAAATCAATATGCCCTTGCAGGAACTGCCTGAAACTGGGCCGCTCCGCCGGCGGCTCGGGCTCCGCGCCCGCGCACAGCTCGACGAGCCCGCGCACGAGCGAGCTGACGTCACGCGCGCAGCCCGGGTCGTCAGCGTTTATGTAAACAAACTCTTCGTTTTTGGGGATGGCGAACAGCGATTTGGCACTGGTGGAAAGATTAGTCAGAATTAAAAAAAAAAGTGCATAATCTAAATAAAATCTGTGTCTAACAAAAAACTATAGCTTGTGTTGCTGGCAGTTTGGCCACAGAATAATAATAAGTACTGTTTGGCCAGCAATCGTTTTTTGATATTGTTTATGGTTTTATACTTTTTTTTTAACATTGTTTTTGGATTTTTGAAGTTGCTTTTCTACGCTCGTGTTCTGTTCATGTTTTGTGCAATATACCTACTGTTTTGGCCCTTTTTTGGAATTTCCTTGCTTCTTGCATATTAATATCACCACCGGCAGGCCTATCTCTATAATACAGTCCACTCCATCGTTTTTAACAGCTTGCTTTGAAAAATCATAAAAATATATTAAGAATTTAAGTGGTTATATTATCTTTTTTTTTAAATAAAATACCTGTTTGAATATAATTTATTTAAAATTATTGTAACATTGAGGTTTGCAAAAATAGTTTTAGGAAGATGCAGTAAAGTAATATTAGTCTTGTGAATGTTTTGGCAGAAAGAAGAAGATGGAGGACTGTTGTGGACGCCCTCTGCCCCATCTAGGGGATATAGGACCTTAAGTCAAGTAAGTCATGAAGCTCACATGTGGAGCATTCTGCATCAAAATCTATGTTAAGAACAGAGCAATTTAGTCTGCCCCACAAAATAACTTACCAAACATTAGTAATAATGCGAGCCTTCCTCAAAATGAAATAAAGCTGATCCTCCACAGCATGCTCAAGCCTCTTTAATCCTGCTGGCACCCTCCTGAGGGGGGTGGGGGCTCTCCTGAAGTGGAACAGCAGCCGGGGACAACATGTCCGGCCGTGGGTCTCCCAGGCCCCACCCAGACCAAGGTCTGCAAATGCTGCAGTTGTTTTTGGGGCCAACTCTGTCCTGAAATCAGTGTTAAACAATGTATTAGTCATATTCATAGTCATTTGTTCACTTCGCAAAATGATTCAAGTGATTTGAAAATTTAAACATTATGGCTATACAGTTTTCTTCTTTGATAAATCATAAATGTTTAAATAAATAAATCTTCATCGTAACTTTATTTTTCTTTTGAAATGTTACTACTAAAGTTTCCGACAAAATGTGATTATCATGTGTAGACTCCATACATATTGGGAGAATTGGGACAATTCCATATTAAAAAATAAGGCATGTAAAAGATGTCTTATCATAAACCAATAACTTAATTGGATGCAGTATTGTTAAAACAAATATTTTCTTACCTAAAAGCATCAATAGCCTTAAACAGTTGGATATATCCCAGATCAAAGACATGGGTAGGCGACGAGAGCACCACTATATGGCACAAGTGGAACAGTAGCGCGATGGCGCGGCAGGACTCGGCTGCCAGCTCCCCTGAGGCCACCAGCCAGTGGGCGGCGTCGGCGTCCTTGTCAGTGCTCTTGGAGTTCTCATCGAGGGTCGCAGCCAGCTCCGCCAGCCGCTTTGTGTCTAGATACGTGACTGCGTGGAGAATGAGCACGCCACGGCGCTCGTCCCAGTGGCATTCGATGCCATTCTAGTTAGGTTAGACATTAGTGTTAAATATTTGGGTTCTAGGGTGAAAACTAATATGATTTCAAAGTAATTTAACGAATCAAACCTCATCCGTAGATACGTTCGGCAAAAGTGGGGTTGTTTTGTTGGGATACCGGTACGGCGACTTCCCAATAACACCTACTACAACTATTCGCTCCTTTTTAGAAAACTCCGGGATATCATTGATAGTAAATACTTTCATGATTATTGTATTTGACAATGTGAATATTTTTGGAAAACATTTAATTTATTTACAAAGCAAGCACACACACATCAGCTGTTTATTGACAACTTTGACAGATTTGTAGTAAGTTGTAAAGTGTTTACGAAGGTAGCTACATAGCTAGCTAAACCACTTACTATATTAAAATAGTAATTAAATTATAAATTAATTATATGATAATGAAGGTTTTATTATTACTTATTTAACATAAAATAATTTGGTAATTAAGAATTGTCGTTCTATAAACAATAAAGTGGACACTCGTGAATGGAAATTNTATCTGTGGTTTCCCAACTGTCATGTAATTTCACATTCACTTGTCAAAAACTCAAAATATCAGCTGGTTTTGCGTAGCGTAAACTTGCTAACCTTTCGAAATCAAGGTTTGCCGCTTGCTTAGAGATTGGAGAAAATGAAATAGGTAGTTATCAAGCGCAAATTCGCAGTATCGCACGTGGCTACGACGCCAACGCCGCAATAAATCCGCCCGATAAGTTATCAGTGCAAAGTTTGTGCCTGTGGTGTGCAGCAGTGTAAAATAACTTTCTGTCGCAATGTCTTCAGCTGTTGAAGATATTTGCGAACTATTAGATAGTTATAATGGTAGAGATAAGGTAAGTATGCGGAAGCCATACGGCCTTGTAATATTGTAAAATTTTACAACTGGTCTGTCCTGTCCCATAGGCATAACTGGTAGATCATTATGTTTGAAAGTTCCGTAAACTTGCAAAGGTATTTGATTAAAATCTTACAAATTTATCAGCTTTAATTGTGTGAATATTATGCATTATTGGTAAAGAGCTAATGATTTTTTTAAATATTTTCAAACAATTTAAATCCACTGAGCAATTCATACCTTTTGTTAAAAGTGTAATTATATTTTACAGGTCGTGCGACTAGCGTGCTATGCCTTCAAGCTGTATGGCTGCATTCACAATGACAAGGCCTGGCAGACGGCGGGCTCCCGCCTCTCCGGCGCCCGGCTCATACTGCGGCTCTTTGACGACATCCCTATGATCAGGCACACATACTCATACGGATTAGGACGACATGTACGTAGCTTTGTTAAATTAAAAATTTGATTTTATTAAGAGATCATCATTTAAAAAAAAAATTACTTTTACTTCTCAGCTCATGAAACTATTCATTTTCATTGTAAAATAGCACTTGTTGCAACTACATTAAGATGTTACAATGTTTAACTTGATTTGTAGTTGTCTTTACTTAGATGTATTCTTCACTTGACATAATAATTCATAATACTTTATTGCTTCATTTGGTGAGAAGGTCTTAAGCTAATACATACGTATACATCCTCAAATGAACCCTGACAGGGTATTACAACATAATTCAATATCTGGTTATTATAGGAGTCTTCAACAACAGCAGCAATCCTTGGAGTTCTTGCCAACACAGTGGACCAGGCTTTTCTGCCGGTGGAGAAAGCCTGCTGGCTCCACGAAGTCGGCATCCTCAAGCTTCAGCCCAACACCGCTTATGTGCTCGAGACCGTCAGCACAGCGCTCTGGGCAGCCAGCCTTTACATATCACTGATACAGTAAGTGATTGAAATATTATAATTAACATTCATTCAAAAAATATTTTACTGAAAAGAAACCCCTAAAAAAACATTACCACTAGGCATAAACAAGATTTTACTTTTAATTTAAAAAAATGACAGGTTCCATGAATTTATTAATGTTACTTCTTCCAATACACATAACATACTCACCATATTTTGTCAAGATAAATACTACACATTACAACATAAATCAAAAGTATATCTCTAACATGACAACACTAAATCTTTTATTATGATTAAGTGTATGTAATTTGCTTCTATTGACTACAAACTGACAGTAACAAATTGCACAGGACTGGGCGGTCGATAAGACAGCTGTGGTGGAGCCGCGATTGCCTGCAGAACTCCTCAGAAGATGGTGGAGCTGATGCGAGAAGGAACCTAGACGTCAGACTGGTCTTACAGGCCATTACAGCTGGGAAACTTTGTCTCGACATCACGCATGCCGTCAGCTGCCTCCCTGAAGGCTGGTTATGGGGAGAAAAGATCGGTGCCACAAAGGTCGCCGCGATAGCCACGACATCCTCTGTGATCGGTATTGCCATGTACTTTGCCAGAAAACGACTTCTAAAGTAACATTTTGCTCTCTAGTGGCAAACTTTTGAATTATTTGAAGCCAAAAGTTGGGAATGATGGATAGAAAAACATGAAATACTGAAGATTACTTTGTGAATACGATGTGGTTGTGTTTTGGTACAACACTTGAAGAGGTGTATAGATGATTAATTAAAAATAGTCTTCCAATATAATTACAAACCAATTTGTAAATAGAACAAGTTTTACCGACAAATGTTTGCATTTTATGTATGTTGACTTAGAACTAGTCAATCTCAATGAATGTGTTGAAATTATTATTTTTTTCAAAGATGTATTTTTTTATACAAAAATTGATATTAGTTATAATAATCTGAAATGTATTTCATCAATATAATTCCAAATTAGTTAAATACTAATTAAGTATGTATTTGTTTTTCTTACGAAAATGTGCTCGGTTCATAAGGTTAGACAAGTCAATTACCTTACTGGTTACATTAGGTACTTACCTGTACGATTCGCAATAATTTTTAAACTGGTTTCAATTTAAAATCTAATTAGAAAATGTTTACTGTTTAAAATATTTCGCAATACAAGTGATTTAAAATTACCTAACTATTTACGTAATTAATTAAATATGTAATTACACTCTATTATTAGTGACAAAGTACCTGCTGCTGTATTTATATCTGAAGCTATTTGTTAAATATATGTAAATATTGTTTTATATCTACCTATGTGTTTGTTTCTAACATTGTCCTACCTGTTCGGAAACTACCAACCTCAACTTCTACAAATATCGCGTACGTAATCAAGAAATTGTACGTCACAACTTTTCATAACACCTTTTGTTACACCCTGATAATCGCATACGTTAAATTCTAGTGATAGATATCCTTTTAGACCTAATATACATATGTCTTTCGGTTAGTCTAGAATTCTAGATCTTTAGTGTTAGCAATATAAGAAGCACAAGCAGCGTGACGTCACACAGGGCTTTTTATCGCAGGGCGCTGGGTTCGCACTCTACGAGTGAATGAATGCCAATTTTCATTAATTGTTANTTTACCTCAATACCTGGTATAAAGAAGGCCATACTTGCTTTGGAATAATCATGCATTTAAAATTAACTGAATTTATTTAAATACTGTATTGGTTATCTCTATTGTAACAAACATTTGCGAATTTATGTTCGATGCATCTGTATTATTGTATACTGTAGCAATATAAAATTGCACTGTAGTGTAGGTAGCATTTGCATTTTTTATTTTTTGCGTAGTTACACATTATTTAGCAGATGCAGTGCTTTTCTTTAAGTGATGGGGCACTTATACATGTAATTTTGGTTATGTATTTTAAATTTTAATAGTGTACTTATTGTTGAAAAGCCAAAATAAATAAATAAATAAATAAATAAATAAATGTGTTTGTTTCTAACATTGTCCTACCTGTTCGGAAACTATACCAACCTCAACTTCTACAAATATCGCGTACGTAATGAAGAAATTGTACGTCACAACTTTTCATAACGCCTTTTGTTACACCCTGATAATCGCATACGTTAAATTCTATAGTGATAGATATCCTTTTAGACTTAATATACATATGTCTTTCGGTTAGTCTAGAATTCTAGAACTTTAGTGTTAGCAACATAAGTAGCACAGGCAGCGTGACGTGAGTCACACAGGGCTTTTTATCGCAGGGCGCTGGGTTCGCACTCTACGAGTGAATGAATGCCAATTTTCATTAATTATTATATTTCTTAATTACCATTATAATTGTAATTTAAGTATCAAGTCAGTTTTATTGATAACACAGATTGGCGAAACTATTAAAAAATCGTGTCTCATAAGTCATAAATATTTCTTTGTTATTACAGAGGCTCTATAAAAAGAGCTGTTTAATTTGTACCTTAGCACACTGGAAGGCCTTTGTATTGTCACGGAGGAAAAATCTTGAAAAGAAACATTGTCCATCATTTAGACACCTATCGGAGAGTACAAAACGATTGTTATTGCAAATATTTTAATACAAAAATCATCTGGTAGTGTAAAAAATTCGTAATCTATATGATAATGATAAAAGGTGTTTTTATCTTTGTGATATAACACTGGTAGACATTCACGGTTATACTGTGAATAGTATTTATTAGGATAGATAGTGTGGCAGAGGTAAATAAACCTTTGCTAATTAAATAAACGCGATGGAGTTNATGGATTTAGTGAATGAACTTTGTGACTTGCTGCAGACTCACACCAACCGTGATAAGGTATGTTGCTGGTTTCAGTTTTGTGAATTATTTATTTGCGACACCATATTTTAGGTTTAACCCTTTATTTAACTTTAGAGAATAGCCAACAGGCTGTGTAAACAAGTTAAATCAAGGTGTAAACTAAAGGTTTCAAGTAAAATTATAACCGTATGCATTATAAAAGATCATGAAGGTCGACTGGGAGAGAAAACTATCAATGATGCGGAAGTGGAAACCAATCGGTTAGGAAAGAAAAAACCTGTTGATCACATCATGTGATAATTGGTGCACTATAAAACCCATTTTGCCTGCGATATTTCGGAACCACATAAGCTCGACGCCCGCGTGCATCAAGCTGGTGTACGGGCTTGGAAAACCTTCCGCGCCCTTATGTTACAAAACAAGAGAAATTATTCGGCGTGCCTCTTTTAATCCGGTCATCAAATTTTTCTCATATAATAACCTTTTACTTATTTTGCAAGTATACGCTTTTAAAAACCGCTTTTACTCGCGTCCGTGTCGTGANTGTCGTGACGTGACTACTTTTACCTTTCGGCCGGATCGTTCAGACCTACAATAATGACTTTACTCAACCAAGAAAGGTCAGGTTTTACTAAAGATTTTAACGACTCCTCCAGGTAGTGAATCTAGCGAGCTACGCGTTAAAGCTATGGGGTTCCACCGCAGACAGCAAGGCTCTCATGACGGCGAGCGGTCGCCTGGCGGCCGCGCGCGCCACTCTTCGCATGTTCGACGACGCTGCTGCCTTGAAAGCCGCGTTAGCTTACGGGCTTGGACAGAATGTAAGTTATTTCTATTGTTTTTAGAAGATATCTAACGTATATCGTTAGAGTCACATGCTAACGCTATAGACAGCACTATGATTGATGGCAAACGGCGACTTTAGAGATGATAACGTTAAAATATTTTTAAATAAGATACTATGTATGAATATTTATTTACATTTACTATTTAGGTAACTACGATTCTTGTTAAAGAACGAATAGAACCAGTCGTTAGTGTAAATTAAATTCTTTGGCAAAACCTTGTCCAGGAGTGGACGACTTGGACGACGACGACGAAAGACTTTTTTACCAATTAACAATGCATGGATGTCTGGGTCGTCCTCATAGCATTTTACATTTACTGTCCGCGGGATTCAGATCCCTGACCGCAGCTGGCGATGTAAACCGTACAGTACAATGCTTGAGTTAGAATCGAGCTTCGTCTTCATAACAAAGTTAAAGTATCGTCCTATCTCTTTAACCTTAACAATGATTTAATTCAATATCATTGATCCAGGACGGTCCCTTCTGGGGTTCCTTAGGCGTGCTGGGCAGCACGTTCACGCTGGCATACCTCCAAGCGGAGAAAGCACAGTTCCTCGTCGACACCGGAGTGCTGGTGGTCTCCAAGGACACCGAGTTCCAGATACGCACCGCCCACAAGCTTTTCTGGTCGCTGTACGCATTCGTCGGGTTTGTCAGGTAAAACGAAAAAAGAAGCAGCGCAAGAAAATAGTGACTGGGTTTCTTGCGCTGCTTCTACTTGGCCCATTTATTGTCCTGAAGCAGTGGGAGGGTTAATACTGGGACGTGTAAAACTGCTTTTAAAAGCCTATTTGCATAAATAAATAAGTTTAAGTTTTTTTTAGTTTTAAAACACTTGTTATCTATTAGTTTGTTGCTAAAACGTATTTACAGTCATGACGTAGGTAGTGTCCCTATTTAAACGATAAATACCGCATTGGCACGATCATAATGTATTTTTAAATTGACATAGAGTCGTGGTAATAAGAAAACACAAGTAGATTTTATGTGTGTTATCAATTACCTAACTGAGATGAGATAATATTTGTCAGTTACTTCATTGAAAAGTGAGAATTAGAAGAATACATAAATACCTATTATTGAAGTTGGCGAATTCGCTAATAATGATATGAACTGACTAGTAGCACTAAGACCGGTAGCTTCTAAATACTAATAAGTTATTGTAATAGTAATCGACATAAAATATGACATGCATCCAAACTGAAATAAACTAAATTACTTACTTGGTTACTTGAACAATAGGTACGAGAGCAATTTCTACTGATCAAATACTAAAAGCAAGTCATCATTATACGCATCTAAACTAATTACTCGGCTACAATAACCACCTTTTCACTTTCCCACCTTTCTAGGTCGCTCAGATCGCTCCACGCGACCGCGCTTGCTCTGAAATCGCCTCAGCGGACCAAGTGTGCTCCGGCGCGGTACCGGCAAGCGGCGCTGACCACCACCAAGCTGCTTCTTGATACAGTGCATGCTGTGAGCTGGTTACCTCCTGGCTGGCTGTGGGGCAGCCGGCTGTCCGTCCCACAAGCGAGTGGGATCGCCACGACGGCGGCGGTGCTAGGGCTTGTCATACATTTTAATGGGAAGCGGCTGGTGTCTTCGCGGTAGATGATTCTTTGATAAGCAACATGACGACGTTTAAAAGTTTAAAGAAGACCCATTCATTTGCCTGTAGGCTTAGTTATTTATTTCAATTTTGGACTCTAGATTTGTCTTTATTAGAGACCGCTCTTAACATTTATGGTCGCATTGTCGCTAAAATAAATACAATAGTAAGGAAGAATCAATAAAGCGGCGCGGCACTAACAGGCGGCGCTGACCACCACAAAGCTGTTACTCGATACAGTGCATGCTGTGAGCTGGTTACCTCCTGGCTGGCTGTGGGGCAGCCGGCTGTCCGTCCCACAAGCTAGTGGGATTGCCACGACGGCGGCGGTGCTAAGGTTTGTCATACATTTTAATGGGAAGCGGCTGGTGTCTTCGCGGTAGATTTGATAAGTAAGATGATGACCGCGGTTAAAAATAAGAAGTTATGTATTTCAATTTTGGACCAAGATGTCTTAAAAAAATTCGTGGAGTGAAAACGTTAAAGCTGAAATTGACTTTTGATTAAGTAATATTTGTTATTTATATTTTGTTACGTTTGTATTATTATTGTGAAGTTTATGCACACTTTCACGATAAAAATAATTAAAATAATGATCATTTACGTATTTAATTATTCGGCAATCTTAAACTTAAGTAGGTAGGTATGTTATAGTACTATGTATAGTAGATTAAGCATTTTAAAATAAAACGAAAATTTAAAATAAATTGGATGTTTTATTATTTTGATTTGTCATAGAACAGTTATAGAACACCAAGTAATTATTGTTAAAACAAATGGAAATACAAAGAATTAATGTACCTACTCCAATTAACAGTATTTTTAATATATTAATACGAAATTTTTGCCTAAGCCATTGATGACATCAACTATTCTACACCCGTTCTAATTCGAGGAAATACGAGTGGATACTTTAACAAAACCACTTATTATATTTGCGTCATAATAAAAAACCTAACAAATAAACAATAATATCACATGCAACAATCAAAGAAACTAATAATTAATAGATATTATAACTAACTGACTTCAAACTAAATAGTAATATACTCAGACTATTATCTTACTAAACTAGTCGACGAAATAAAGACCTATCACGTGATGTGTTGATACGTTTCGACAATTTGAATATACCTTGTCGCCGAATAACATTTTTAGGAACAAAATAATATCTATCTAACAAAACTCCCTAACGATTTCACGTTTTGAGTCAGCTCCAATGCTTTTACATATTATTATGAGATGAATTGATGGCTATCATAATAATATATCAAATACTGTGAAATGTCCACGTGCCACAATCATGCCCGCATGCATACTTTTCTAAACAAAACAAATACAAGATAAACAAATATAATGTATTGTAAAAATATACATTTGTTAGATACTTAATAAAGACATAATTGATACACTAACGGCCAAATACTGAAACGNCGTCTCATCTCAACTTAACAATGATTTAATTCAATATCATTGCTCCAGGACGGTCCCTTCTGGGGTTCCTTAGGCGTGCTGGGCAGCACGTTCACGCTGGCATACCTCCAAGCGGAGAAAGCACAGTTCCTCGTCGACACCGGAGTGCTGGTGGTCTCCAAGGACACCGAGTTCCAGATACGCACCGCCCACAAGCTTTTCTGGTCGCTGTACGCATTCGTCGGGTTTGTCAGGTAAAACGAAAAAAGAAGCAGCGCAAGAAAATAGTGACTGAGTTTCTTGCGCTGCTTCTACTTGGCCCATTTATTGTCCTGAAGCAGTGGGAGGGTTAATACTGGGACGTGTAAAAATGCTTTTAAAAGCCTACTTGCATAAATAAATGAGTTTTATAAGTTTTTTTTAGTTTTAAAACACTTGTTACCTATTAAATAGTTTGTTGCTAAAACGTATTTACAGTCATGACGTAGGTAGTGTCCCTATTTAAACGACAAATACCGCACTGGCACGATCATGATGTATTTTTAAATCGACATAGAGTCGTGGTAATAAGAAAACACAAGTAGATTTTATGTGTGTAATCAATTACCTAACTGAGATGAGATAATATTTGTCAGTTACTTCATTGAAAAGTGAGAATTAGAAGAATACCTAAATACCTATTTCTAAAGTTGGTGAATTCGCTAATAATGATATGAAGTGGCTAGTAGCACTAGTAGTAGTAAAACCGGTAGCTTCTAAATACTAATTAAGTTATTCTACTAAGTAATCGACATAAAATATGTTTTACGCATCTAAACTGAAATAAACTAAACTACGACTTGGCTATTTACACAATACGAGAGCAATTTCTACTGATCGAATACTAAAATTTGCAAATCATCATTCTACTAAAAACTAATTACTTGGCTACAATAACCCTTTCACTTTCCCACCTTTCTAGGTCGCTCAGATCGCTCCACGCAACCGCGTTGGCTCTGAAATCGCCTCAGCGGACCAAGTGCGCTCCGGCGCGGTACCGGCAAGCGGCGCTGACCACCACCAAGCTGCTTCTTGATACAGTGCATGCTGTGAGCTGGCTACCTCCTGGCTGGCTGTGGGGCAGCCGGCTGTCCGTCCCACAAGCTAGTGGGATCGCCACGACGGCGGCGGTGCTAGGGCTTGTCATACATTTTAATGGGAAGCGGCTGGTGTCTTCGCGGTAGATTCTTTTTATAAGCAACATGACCGCGTTTAAAAGTTTAAAGAAGACCCATTCATTTGCCTGTAGGCTTAGTTATTTATTTCAATTTTGGATTCTAGATTGGTCTTTATTAGAGAGCGCTCTTTTCAATATTCATGGGCACATTATCACAAGTTGAAAATCAATAAATGTATTAAGAAGAATAAACCGGCGCGGTATTGGCAGGCGGTTCTGACCACCACCAAGCTGCTTCTTGATACAGTACATGCTGTGAGCTGGTTACCTCCTGGCTGGCTGTGGGGCAGCCGGCTGTCAGTCCCACAAGCTAGTGGGATCGCCACGACGGCGGCGGTGCTAGGGCTTGTCATACATTTTAATGGGAAGCGGCTGGTGTCTTCGCGGTAGATTCTTTTTATAAGTAAGATGATTACCGCGGTTAAAAGTAAGAAGTTATGTATTTCAATTTTGGACCAAGATGTCTTAAGAAAATTCGTGGAGTGAAAACGTTAAAGCTGAAATTGACTTTTGATTAAGTAATATTTGTTATTTATATTTGTTACGTTTGTATTTGATCGAGTATTGTGAAGTTTTTACACACTTTCACGATGAAAATAATTAATATAATGATCATTTACGTATTTAATTATTCGGTAATCTTAAACTTAAGTAGGTAGGTATGTTATAGTACTATGTATAGTAGATTAAGCATTTTAAAATAAAACGAAAATTTAAAATAAATTGGATGTTTTATTATTTCGATTTATCATAGAACAGTTATAGAACACCAAGTAATTATTGATAAAACAAATGGAAATACAAAGAATTAATGTACCTACTCCAATTAACAGTATTTTTAAAATATTTTAATACGAAATTTTTGCCCAAGCCATTGATGACATCAACTATTCTACACCCGTTCTAATTCGAGAAAAACGAGTGGATACTTTAACAAAACCACTTATTATATTTGAGTCATAATAAAAGACCTAACAAATAAACAGTAATATCACATGCAACAATAAAAGAAATTAATAATTACTGGTCATAGTGGTCATCACAAAAATCGGCCCACCTACTTACGTTTTACAGGAAAACTCGTTTCTACTGACACAATAATGGTGCCCCAACAATATTGGTTTTATTTGAAAGCCCTATAAATATCCTCAAAGAAAAACACATTTTATTTCTTAATTAACGATTTAAACGATTAACATATACAATAAATGTGAATTGTAAAAAGACCTCACTTTGGGCTCACCCCTGGGATCAATTAGACCAATTTTTATGGTTATAAAACCAAATAATGATCTCACGTGTCCTGTTTAACAGATTGATAGCGATTAATCCCAACTTAACAGTTTTATAGCCATAAAAGTTGGCTCAAGCGTAACTACCTATTTTTTGAAGAAGTGACTCTGATATCTTCTACAGACACATTTTTGGGGTAAAAACCTTTCCTTTAATGAAATGAAGTTTAGAACTAGGCTTTTAAATGGTGCCAATATTAGTGGGAAGTGGGGATGCATACGTTTGAAAGTGCTTGTCGCGGGAGGGTCGATTTTTGTGATGACCAGTGTAGTTATTATAACTAACAGACTTCAAACTAAATATTAATATACTCAGACTATTATCTTACTAAACTAGTCAACGAAATAAAGACCTATCACGTGATGTGTTGATACGCTTCGACAAGTAGAATAATACCTTGTCGCCGAATAATTTTTTTAGGAACAAAATAATATCTATCTAACAAAACTCCCCAACGATTTCACGTTTTGAGTCAGCTCCAATGCTTTTACATATTATTATGAGATAAATTGGTGGCTATCATAATAATATATCAAATATACTGTGAAATGTCCACGTGCCACAATCATGCCCGCATGCCTATTTTTCTAAACAAAACAAATACAAGATAAACAAATATAATGTATTGTAAAAATATACATTTATTAGATACTTAATAAAGACAGACATAATTAATACACTAAGCAGTCTTTATGTAAACATGTAAATATAGATATATCATGTAGATTTTTTGCAAAGTAATTTGAGTAATATAAGTACCTAACATATCTAACATTCCGATTACCTTCAAGTAACAACGCTGTTCACGTAATAAAGTCAAGTCTTCTTATCTATAACTGATCACAATTTAAAGCTCCCTTGAAATGGCGATATAAAGCGCGACGCTGCCGTAAAAGTGTACTCCGAAAATCACTTTTTGATATGAGTTCTTTTTTGTAATGAGAGCTGCCCCAAAATTTGGCGAAGAGTTTTTTGGTATTTTCGTTTATCATTGACTAGACAACAAAACTCTTGCGCAGAAAACTAGACAACATTATGACTTAGTCTTTTGACGGAACTTTTAAAAGGTCATTCACAAGTTTCATTGACTCTTGATTTAAGCCCCCACTTAAATCTCCAATGTCCAGCATTAGGTTAAATAACCACATCGTCTGCCCAGATATAACCATGACTATAAGTTTGCTCATTCATATTTTCCGCTCGCATAAAACCATGGAATAATAAATTTTACCTTCAAGTGTTTTCTTCGGGCACCATATCCAGTTCTTCTCTGAAGTACTTCTCGTGATTGGGGTACAGTCTCATAGCCAATCTTGGCAGCCTCTTGGGATGTGGGGCGCGGCCCCAGCTGGCCACGTCGGGCCCCAAACCTTGGACCGCTCCGCAAGCCGCTTCGAACGCGCGCGCCTCGCCGGTTGCCGTGGGAGAGAGCACGCACAACGCGAATAGAGAGAGGAGACGATGCCTAAAAGGAAGAAATAAAATAATTTATAATATTGTCGGTACTTATTATTACCATCATCCTAGACTGCATCTCACTTAACACCAGGTGCGATTGCGGTCAAATACCTTGCATAAAATAAAAAGAAAATACACCTAGAAAATAGGATGTTCTCTAAAGGTTGGGTAGAAAGTAGCGACCAAGAACCGAAAAACATAATATATGCAGGCTTCACACTTGGTGGACTTGCGATCTATGGGCGTACCTACTTTGACTGAAATGGATTAAGGTACCTTACCCGAGCACAATGGTCTGGGCTTCTTCAAAGTGAGAGTGAATAGACATTTACTAGGTATGTAAGTATCACCCTGGAACAGTCCAGTAGATTCAGATCTATTTGTATTTTACTTTATTCGGAAAACAAACAGTGTTAATTGACTTATTAACTATCTGAGTATAAAGCTGTACACCAATTATATGTTTTCGCTTACAATAACTGAGATAATGTTTACTAATATACTTAAATTATTATTATCTACACTTAACATTCACTGAGCGCGGGGTCTTGGCGGGCGAGGCCTTTTAAACACGAAAAAAAGTTTTAATAAAAATAAATAACACTTACGACTGAATGACTGAGACTGACTGATGCTACTAATCTACTACTAAAGAGGACTCACGCCTGAGTAGGGCTGCCATTGGACGCCTGCAGCGACACAAGTTGCAGTAACCGAGGCGCAGATCCATACTGCAACTATACTACTAAAGAGGACTCACGCCTGAGTAGGGCTGCCTTTGGACGCCTGCAGCGACACAAGTTGCAGTAACGAGCGCCGCGGCTTGCGCTTCGCCCTCGGCGGCCTCGAAGCTTAGCTCACGTACGAGCCGGCAGACGACGCAGATCCATACTGCAACTATACTACTAAAGAGGACTCACGACTGAGTAGGGCTGCCTTTGGAGGCCTACAGCGACACCGCTCGCGCTTCGCCCTCGGCGGCCTCGAAGCTCAGCTCACGTACGAGCCGGCAGACGACGCAGATCTATACTGCAACTATACTACTAAACTACTACTAAAGAGGACTCACGACTGAGTAGGGCTGCCTTTGGACGCCTGCAGCGACACAAGTTGCAGTAGCGAGCGGCGCAGCGCGTCAGCAGCGCGTGCGCCGCGGCCCGCGCTTCGCTCTCGAAGCTTAGCTCTCGCACGAGCCGGCAGACGACGCAGATCCATACTGCAACTATACTACTAAAGAGGACTCACGACTGAGTAGGGCTGCCTTTGGACGCCTGCAGCGACACAAGTTGCAGTAGCGAGCGGCGCAGCGCGTCAGCAGCGCGTGCGCCGCGGCCCGCGCTTCGCTCTCGAAGCTTAGCTCTCGCACGAGCCGGCAGACGACGCAGATCCATACTGCAACTATACTACTAAAGAGGACTCACGATTGAGTAGGGCTGCCTTTGGAGGCCTGCAGCGACACCGCTCGCGCTTCGCCCTCGGCGGCCTCGAAGCTTAGCTCTCGCACGAGCCGGCACGTGGCGCAGATCCATACTGCAACTATACTACTAAACTACTACTAAAGAGGACTCACGACTGAGTAGAGCTGCCTTTGGACGCCTGCAGCGACACAAGTTGAAGTAACCGAGGTGCAGATCCATACTGCAACTATACTATTAAAGAGGACTCACGACTGAGTAGGGCTGCCTTTGGACGCCTGCAGCGACACAAGTTGCAGTAACGAGCGGCGCAGCGCGTGCGCCGCGGCTCGCGCTTCGCCCTCGAAGCCTAGCTCTCGCACGAGCCGGCAGACGACGCAGATCCATACTGCAACTATACTACAAAAGAGGACTCACGCCTGAGTAGGGCTGCCTTTGGAGGCCTGCAGCGACACAAGTTGCAGTAACGAGCGTGTGCCGAGGCTCGCGCTTCGCCCTCGGCGGCCTCGAAGCTCAGCTCACTTACGAGCCGGCACGCGGCGCAGATCTATACTGCAACTATACTACTAAACTACTACTAAAGAGGACTCACGACTGAGTAGGGCTGCCTTTGGACGCCTGCAGCGACACAAGTTGCAGTAACGAGCGGCGCAGCGGCTCGCGCTTCGCCCTCGAAGCTTAGCTCTCGCACGAGCCGGCAGACGATGCAGATCCATACTGCTGCTATACTACTAAAGAGGACTCACGCTTGAGTAGGGCTGCCTTTGGACGCCTGCAGTGACACAAGTTGCAGTAACGAGCGCCGCGGCTTGCGCTTCGCCCTCGGCGGCCTCGAAGCTTAGCTCACGTACGAGCCGGCAGACGACGCAGGTCTATACTGCAACTATACTACTAAACTGCTACTAAAGAGGACTCACGCCTGAGTAGGGCTGCCTTTGGACGCCTGCAGCGACACAAGTTGCAGTAGCGAGCGGCGCGGCGGCTCGGCACAGCGCGTCAGCAGCGCGTGCGCCGCGGCCCGCGCTTCGCCCTCGGCGGCCTCGAAGCTCAGCTCACGCACGAGCCGGCACGCGGCGCAGATCCATACGGCTACGATGACTTCGTGTTCGATGCTGAAACATTTTGATTTTTTAACCGATAAGCAAAAACTAGTGGTAGTAGCACATAAGAAGACTGCTTGAATGTGATTGGCGGATAAGTTCTGCGCGAACGCATGGGCGTGTTTTTACACCAGTGTTAGCAAGCTCATCATAACGAATATTGACTAGTAGGACTTGTTGAAACATTAAACTATCGGAATTTTAACGGATGTTTCTTGTTTCCACGAATGCAAATCTTAGCCTAAATCTATAATTTGACCTACACAAACCCTGAAGAGCGGCGACGCGTTGTGCTATATCCGCACGCTACAATAAGGCTATGGACGACCAGTTAGGACGTATTTCTAACACGAGTCATTATGCTGTAGTATACTATGTTACTTACAAGTCTACTTCAGCAGCGAGTAGCGCCAATAGCGCGGCGCGTATAGCGCTGGGGGCGTGGTCGTGCGCCGCGAGCGTGACGTAGGCGGCGTGCAGGCGTGCGCGGGCGCACAGTGACGCGTCGCCAGTATCCGAACGCTACAATGAGGCTATGGACGACCAGCTAAGACGTATAACACGAGTCATTATCCTGTAATATACTATATTACTTACAAGTCTACTTCAGCAGCAAGTAGCGCCAATAGCGCGGCGCGTATAGCGCTGGGGGCGTGGTCGTGCGCCGCGAGTGTGACGTAGGCGGCGTGCAGACGTACACGGACGCACAGCGGCGACCCGTCGCGCTAGTATCCGCACGCCACAATGAGGCTATGGACACCAGCTAGGACGTATAACACGAGTCATTATCCTGTAATATACTATATTACTTACAAGTCTACTTCAGCAGCGAGTAGCGCCAATAGCGCGGCGCGTATAGCGCTGAGGGCGTGGTCGTGCGCCGCGAGCGTGACGTAGGCGGCGTGCAGGCGTGCGCGGGCGCACAGTGACGCGTCGCCAGTATCCGCACGCCACAATGAGGCTATGGACGACCAGCTAGGACGTATAACACGAGTCATTATCCTGTAATATACCTACTATGTTACTCACAAGTCTACTTCAGCAGCAAGTAGCGCCAATAGCGCGGCGCGTATAGCGCTGGGGGCGTGGTCGTGCGCCGCGAGCGTGACGTAGGCGGCGTGCAGGCGTGCGCGGGCGCACAGCGGGGATGCATCGCGCCAGTGCCCGCCTCGCCATAGCACGGCTATGGACGACCAGCCTGAGCACTCTGTTCGATACAAAAAATACAATCTAGTTGAGAACTCCTTTTTGTAGCAGGTCAAAAAGTGAATTAGGGTCTTGACTGACGCTATTCAAAGCTTAAACGCGTCTCAAAACTTCAGATCAGGAATAGTTTGATCACAAAAAAGGAAAGCACAATAGAGAATCGGACAACTGATAAGGATAGAATGAGCTGACAAAACGCTGATTTCCCTTAGATTTTGAAGGAATTTGTCCACCATTTAATTTGACATACTCAAGTCAGAAAATGAAGAAATTTAAAATCATTGCCACCGCATTGTAACTCAAGATACCGCCATCTAAGTTTCCAAACAGAGAACCTTATTCCACAACAACTACAAACTCACCAGGACTGCTAAAGTATGCGCGCACGCAGGCGTCAGCGAGCGACGCATACGGTTCGTAGGCGGTCAGCGTGTGCACACAGTATACAACGGCGCGAGATAAAAGAGGCGGCGCCGTCTGCACCCACTGCTCCCACACCTGGACACACGGTTACTATGACAAAACATCTGACAAACGTAAATGTCATCATTCTTCTTCTTTTTTGATGATGTTGGCAATACACGTCGAGGTCGACTTGATTTGTGCCATTTTCAAGTATATAAGTGATACAAGTTACAAAATGAGATCAAGTAATGATATTATGAAGGATGATAGATGATACCCCTTCCCACCCTTTGAGTCTCAGTAAAGTAGTGGTGCTTTACTGAGACTTCCTATGGACAACTTGAGAGAACCAGAAGAATCACGATGCACTGTTTTGCTTCACTTGCCCACACTCATGCACGTTCACGAACACTCAATGGTTAATAATCCACCATTATTACACATTAATAGTCGCCCACACACGAATTTGAGGAAATAAAACAAAACCGCTAACATGACGCTTCAGATTCCCGCCAAGAAGTCCAAATGTCATCATTGCTTTAAAATAGAAATACCTGCCTTGTTCTGCATGAAAAAATCTTTAATATTGTTATAGTATGTTACAATAACTATAGATATACCGCTTAAAATGCATTGATCGCCATCACTGCACGCCGGCTGATCACGTTGGTTTGGTTGAACCTTAACTGAGTCAGCATGAGGTATAAAAAAGGGCATGGGAGGGTGTTTTTAAGACTATCAAACTTCAACGAGACTTAAGACTTCTTTCAGATTTGTATGCTCTGTCACTTATAATACGTATACGTATAATACTCAGTTAAGGGCAGGCCTCCCACTAGGTGGACCGACGATCTGGTGAAGGTCGCGGGAGGTGCCTGGATGCGAGCGGCGCAGGAACGGTCTTTCGTGGAAATCCTTGGGGGAAGCCTTTGTCCAGCAGTGGACGTCTTTCGGCTGAAACGAACGAAGCGCTATACTCGTCTCAAAAAGCAATGTTCGAATGCGTAAAACCCATGAAAAGAAACTCACTGATAGCGCGGCGGTGGCGGCAGACTCGATGCACATGATAACCATTGCACGACTCAGCAGCTCTTCCACTTCGCCCTCAGATCTTGTCAAGTGAGGCGCTGGAACATCAGACATTGGAATTTAAACCTTATTACAATATACGAGATGCGATTTCTCGCTGCCTACTGATATCTTTCCCGAACGAACCCTTTCATCCGGGTTTCTTCAAGGCGAGAATAAATGGTTTTACTTAGTGTAAGTACCACCCTAGATTGCATCTGACTTAAAATCAGGATTACCAGGCTGAAGTGGCAATGGACAGGGCACATATTATAGTACGCAGAACTGACGGCCGATGGGACAGCTAGGTTCTGGAGTGGAGGCCGCGTACCGGAAAACGCAGCGTGAAGGTGGACTGACGACTTCATAAAGAGTAGGCCTGCATCGGCCTGCCTGCCTGAACCACATGATGTGGAAATCATTGGGGGAGGCCTATGTTCAGCAGTGGACGTCCTGTGGCTGAAATGATGATGAAGATAACATCAGGAGTGATCGCTGCTAGCCATGGAGGTGTGGAGCCACAGACCTGCCACGCTGATGACCCCCAGCAGCGCGCCCGTGTGGGGGGCCACGTGGGGGGCCAGCACCCACGTGGACACGAGCCGGCCGCGCTTCTGTCGGCTGCAGCCGCTGATACTAATGAAGCTGTGTGGAGCCACTGACCTGCCACGCTGATGGCCCCCAGCAGCGCGCGCGTGTGGGGGGCCACGTGGGGGGCCAGCGGGGGCGCACTGGCACTGCGCACCCACGTGGACACGAGCCGGCCGCGCTTCTGTCGGCTGCAGCCGCTGACGCTGACGCTGCCGAGGCTCTCTGGCGGCCAGCGGAGCTCCGCCGCGTAAAGCAATACCCTGCGGTAAACAATAGAACACGATACAGTTACGCTGAGTTGCACCATCTAACTTTAACCGTAACTAAAACGATGACCGGTGTTTTTGTATGGAGTTTGACAGATCAGTGATGTTTGTTAAAGTTAAAGTAAGATGGTGCAACCCAGCCTTGCATGGAAAGGCGGCAATTCACAGAGACAAGCGACCGAGACTGGAGACTACGAACCTTCACTTGACTTATTAAAATTATTTAAAAGTTACTTGACTTAGTTCTCTGTCTATTGTCTCTGTCTCCCTCGCGAACCGATACTTAGGCGCGGTTTCCACCAAGGCGGAGCGGAGAAGTGTTTGATTAACCAATCAGATTTCCTGGTTTCCTGAATAATGAAATCTGATTGGTTATTCGATAGAAACCGGACAACAAGAAGGCACACAAAACACTACAATATTTTATCGTTATTGAGTCACTGTCATTAGAACTATGCACAACTCAATGAAATAGAGTCTATTTAATAGACAAATAGCTGATTTTCCTTATATTACCTGAACTGTGGCAGCTCATGGTAGGGCACGGCCAGGCTGTAGTGCTGCGCGAAGAAGCGCTCCAGCGCCTCCTCCAGCGCGGGCTCCGGCAGCCGCTGCCACGGCAGGCGCGTCGCCTCTTCCAGCACCTACCCGCAGAGGAAAACAAAATAAGTGGAATTCCCTGCATGTGTGAATAGGCTTAGTAAATCAAAGCCACACACCGCAGGTATAAGGAAAACTAGCTTTCGTCCGCGTGGAATTTTGTATGTCACAGAAAAACTTTAATCGCGCGCGTCCCTGTTTCAAAAACCGGGATAAAAACTATCCAATGTCCTTTCCCGGGATTCAAACTATATCTATGCCAAATTTCATCAAAATCGGTTCAGTGGTTAGGCGTGAAAGAGAGACAGATAGACAGACCTTTACTTTCGTATTTATAATATTAGTATAGATAAGTATGTGATAAATTCGTCTGTTGCACGGAAGTGATTGCATATACTCGTCGAGTAGTACAAAGGCACTGCCAGCCCCACGTGACCACTTCCCACTCGAGTCGTAGCCTAAACAGTACTGATGCACTGCCACCGTTGACACGATTGCAGCAGTAAACAGCAGTAGCAAACTCGCCGGGTCCACCTACCCTCGCTTTCAGGGCGTTTCACGCCGCCGCATATCAATCACTCAGCTTACATAGCATTGTTGTATGAGCACTATTATGATGATACTGTACAGCAGCGGGCCGCCGAAGACAGCTGCCCCTACACGAGCTATATTGAAAGCTGCTATCCACTGCTCGCTTCGGAATACCAGGGCTGTTGCCGTGACAACGGTCCTCCGTTCCGTTGAAAATCAGTTTCAAGGCAAACCCTGGCGGTCTTGATGTATGATGGATGAGCGGGTGCCTTTTGGCAAACCCTGGCGGTCTTGATGTATGATGGATGAGCGGGTGCCTTTTGGCAAACCCTGGTGGTCTTGATGTATGCTGACTTCGTCACTTTGTATGTACTTATGTCTTACATACTTGTATACCCTTCTGTCAAGTACAAAGCTTTTTTGATTTTAGACTCGCCCAGCCGTGCTGGAAGATGCTAGCATTAAACGTCCACGCGCACCAGTCTCCCAGCTCATAGTGTTGCACGAGTACTATGGTGACGCTATACAGCAGCGGGCCGCCGAAGACAGCTGCCCCTGCACGAGCTATTGGAGAATGCTGTCTGGAGCTCGCTTCGGAATAACACCTATGGTACAATAGCGGCACTCACCCGGCCGTTCTGGAAGACGGCAGCAGTGAGCAACTGCAGCAGCAGCGGCCACCGCGCACCAGTCGCCCAGCTCATAATGTTGCACGAGTACTATGGTGACGCTATACAGCAGCGGGCCGCAAAAGACAGCTGCCCCTGCACGAGCTATTGGAAGATGCTGTCTATAGCTGCTTCGGAATAACACCTAATACAAAACCTTGACATAGCTCGTAGACGATGGCCGCTGGGGCAGAAAAGTCCTCGAGTGGCGACCACGGGACGTAGCGTGGGCAGGCCTCCTAACAGGTGGACCGACGATCTGGTAAAGGTCTGGATGCGGGCAGCGCAGGACCGTTCATTTTGAAAAACCTTGGGGGAGGCCTTTGTCCAGCAGTGGACGTCATTTGGCTGAAACGAATTCTATTCCATCTATGGTAACAGTACAGTAGCAGCACTCACCCGGTCGTTCTGGAACTTGCCAGCAGTGAACAGGTGCAGTAACAGCGGCAGGCGAGCACCCAGCTCGGCCTCTCCATCCGCCCACTAGTACTATGGTGACGCTATACAGCGGCGGGCCGTAGAAGACAGCGCCCCGATTGCGCTGATTTGTATGTCTCCAATTCCTTTGCGTTTCATCTCTAGTCTACACTACAGTTACACTCCGTTTTCATTCCAGCAGGTGTGCAATTCGGTATCGCGGTAAAGTTAACGAGCAAACAAAGACGAAACAACGGATTTAAGTACTTTCCATTAAAAGTCCGAACACCTTATTTTTTTACTAAAACAATGTACGTGAAAACGCAGTTGCGTTCCGTTTACGTTACAACTTCGTTTGACCTACGTGTCAAGTCAAAGCGACATACACCGCGATACGAATTTGTGCAAATAGCTGAATTTCGTTCGTAGTCCAGTCGCGTTGCAGTTGAAAATATACTGGAAGCTGCTGTCCGTAGCTCGCTTCGGAATAACACCTATGGTAGTACAGTAGCAGCACTCACCCGGTCGTTCTGCAAGATGCCAGCAGTGAACAGGTGCAGTAACAGCGGCAGGCGAGCACCCAGCTCGGCTTCCCCGTCCGCCCATGTATACGTTTGAAGCCAGACGTTCAGCTCATAGTGTTACATGAGTATAGATCGTTTCATTCACAAAGACGCTTCCTAACACATTTTGGTCGAATTAAGCGCTGGGTGCGGAGAGATTTATCCGAGCAATCCGAGCGTCATTATTGTAGTGTGCGCATGCACTGGATAATTATCCAGTTGCCAGGCTGTTATAACCGCGCTTCCCTCGAACAAAAAGTGGTGGGGCGCATCTTCGTGGATAAAATATCTATATTATGATGAAACTATACAGCAGCGGGCCGCAGAACAGCTGCCCCTGCACGTGCTATATTGGAAGCTGCTGTCCACTTCTCGCTTCGGAATACCAGGGCTGTTGCCGTGACAACGGGCCTCCGCTGAAAATCTGTTTCGAGGCAAACCCTGGCAGTCTTGATGTACGCTGACTTCGTCACTTTGTATGTACTTACGTCTTACTTGCTTATCTTTCTGTCAAGTGCAAAGCTTTTTTGATTTTTGACTCACCCGGTCGTTCTGGAAGATGCCAGCAGTGAACAGGTGCAGTAACAGCGGCAGGCGAGCACCCAGCTCGGCCTCCCTGCCTGCCCACGTATACGCTTGAAGCCCGTCGCACGCCGCCGCGCACCAGTCGCTCAGCTCATAGTGTTGCACGAGTACTATGGTGACGCTATACAGCAGCGGGTCGCAGAAGACAGCGCCCCGATTGCGCTGATTTGTATGTCTCCAATTCCTTTGCGTTTCATCTCTAGTCTACACTACAGTTACACTCCGTTTTCATTCCAGCAGGTGTGCAATTCGGTATCGCGGTAAAGTTAACGAGCAAACAAAGACGAAACAACGGATTTAAGTACTTTCCATTAAAAGTGCGAACACCTTATTTTTTCACTAAAACAATGTACGTGAAAACGCAGTTGCGTTCCGTTTACGTTAACCTAGGTGTCAAGTCAAAGCGACACCGCGATACAATTAAGTGCAAATAGCTGAATTTCGTTCGTCGTCCAATCGCGTTGCAGTTGAAAATATATTGGAAGCTGCTGTCCGTAACTCGCTTCGGAATAACACCTATGGTAGTACAGTAGCAGCACTCACCCGGTCGTTCTGGAAGATGCCAGCAGTGAACAGGTGCAGTAACAGCGGCAGGCGAGCACCCAGCTCGGCCTCCCTGCCTGCCCACGTGTACGCTTGAAGCCCGTCGCACGCCGCCGCGCACCAGTCGCCCAGCTCATAGTGTTGCACGAGTACTATGGTGACGCTATACAGCAGCGGGCTNAGCTGGTAGCGACCTCTAAATCTTAACCAAAAAAAAAAACAAAAAAAGCTAATTTCATATTTAGAGGTATATAATCGAATGAGAAAGTGCCCCGGGGAGAATTCAAAAGTCGAAAAATAAGGACCACCCTAGTACATACATAATTAAATCAATGGCCAGCATAACCGTGCCTGAGTTTTTTCTATGATAAACCAAACCTGTTCCGTCCTAAACAAACTGGGGAAAATTGAAAATGATTTAATTACAGAATTATCTGCCCTCTTTGTAAACCGAACCTTAAAACAAGTATGTCTAGAGTCCATCTTTCTTACTATTCGGGTAGAGACTACAAAACCAAAATATAAAAGTATACAGGCTGCAAATGTAGAAAAAGATAAAAATAATATATTGCTTATGTGTTTTCAACATATGAACTGAACATAAAGATGTTAATCTGCTCGTTTTATCTTTTAAATAGACTAGACTTCATTAGTATTATCTATCATCCCGTGTTCGTGTTTAAACGAGATTAAAACAATGCAATCCTCTTTAAATCTAGAACTTTTTTTGGGTAACTATTACAGTGACAGAGTTACTACAAAATAAAGCTTAGGAATTTAAGAAAAAAGCCTACTAATTGTTATTCTGATTATGTTGCTGACTATGAAACTGAATCTGTATTAAAGTACCTAGTTAAATTGTTTTCTAAAATATGGACATTATTTTTATTTTTTATTAATAGCTTATTCTATTGTGTGTAACCCTCTGTTACCGGGTTTCATTGCCCTCGGCCCGTTCTTGCGTTCGATTGTGAATTTTCGGCCCTACGCACTCCTGTGGCTTTCGCATAGTTTTGATTGAAACTGCCTCATTAAGGGTTGCTAGGAGAGACCACTAAGGCCAAACATATCGATTGTTAGCTTAAGAACATTTCTACTTTAAAACAAATCAGTTTCAACCTTGAATGGTGTCGACGCCAATTTTTATTAAGGTGTATTTGCTTCTATTGTACGATTCTACATTTAAAGTTTTTATTATCAACGTAAATTCATTTCATTAAGCTTATTGCTGTTCAGTCAAACTGATTTAATACAACTCACTAGCGTCCCGCACGAACAGAATAATAATATACAATTAGACATCATCTTCAAATATTTTTCATCAAGTATTCATGATAAAATATTCTCCATAGCTCTGTTTATTATTTTATCGATAATTATCCCCTTTAAATACTTCGGATTCTCGTTCCTACCTCAAGTTCTTAGTTTGAGGCATCGTGTCCGCTCAGATAAAGGAGGAATAAGCTTCGCCAAACATTAATTTTACTTTGCAAATAGTTGCTTAGGGCTTCTTACGCACAGCTAGCCCTGCCCCGCGGCATTGCTGCGGTCCGACGATCATTCTTGGAATGATTTAATAATTCTGATAGTATTTTCCGAGAAATTTGATGAAATCATGGATAGATTATGGATTTATTTCAACCCTCTATTAAGACCCTCAGGAATTATGAGTACACTTTTACTCAGATGTGTAATGGAGCTTGTAAAGAATTTTTCATTGTAACGCTTTCCCCGTATTTTTAACACGCTAATAGCGCATTAGACCTCAAACTAGGGTAAAAATAAATAGCGTATTTCCGAAACGACGTCATAATGAGTGCATCTATTGAAACGCATCAATAGTTGGTGTTAACCGTGTTCAACAATAGTCGGCGCTCCCACAGTGCCAGTTGCCCTTATTGTGATGGTAGCAAGGTCGCTGATGGCGATTGTGAGCGGTTAAGCGCTCTTTAATTCGGGTAAACATTGGAGGGTGACCGCGTCATGTGCACGCGTCTCTTTTATCGCTTTCAAACTCGGACCGTTTATTTTGATGATTGTATGTTCCGTTCTCATGGTGTAATCATCCAATTCATGGATATAGTGTTAATGCACTGGTTGAACAATAATAGGCAATAGGGCGAACGAGTGATGTAGGAACATGATGTGGTACCTACATTGTACCCTGTCGAGCAAACTTATTTTGACAAGGATTACAATTTTTTGTTTGAATTAAACCATGCATACAAATGTAATAAAAATAAATTCGGATAAAAAGAGCAAGAGCAAGCAAGAGCTGCGCCGATACTTTGATATGGAGGATTTTCATTAATAGACAGACATATTTTGTTTCTTATTATTACCAGATCAAATAGTAATGCAAAAAGTTCCCAGCTCCCACCCACGGAGGCGTCATAAAAAGGTTTCAATTAATTACTTCTCCGAACTACATTTAAACCTGAATTAAAGTCTTAGCTTGAACAAAAAGCCGATGAAAGAGAGCTTTACTCATTACTGAGACTTATTTGAGCCTTAAATAAAAGTGTCACCCTCAGAGATAAACTGCATAATGTAACTGAAATGCAGCAGGTTTGTTGCACTGAACATGAAATACACAAGTAAACGTTATGTAGGTAACAACAACGCGATTTATTTTAGGCTTTTTTCATTACGTTTATGGTGATTGGTGATTGGTATACCTATAAGAACTTGGACAACATCTACCTACTAGACGCATTTTTAAGTATTACAACTCGGAAATTATTACCGCGTGATACTTCACGTGTAAAGAGTGCTCGGAACGAGTCATAATTTGAATTAAATGAGTATTAGAAGCGTACTCGTATTCTTCTTCGTTTATCAACCATTCTGCAAAGTGACGCAGTGAATCTACTTCTCGCACCCGTAGTGTTGCGACACGGTCGCACCAGCCCGCGTTTATCATTTTTTCGATCAGTTTCTAGCTGGGGTAATGCTAGGGTTCCCACTGCGAACTATACGAATGCAAAGAGGTACAACAGGAAACGGTTATCAAAGCATATGAAAGATTTATTATTGAGAACAAGATTTTAACGACAAAAAAGTATCCTGTTGCGTGAGAACTCTTTGTGAATTTATATAATTGATGCGTTGAAATTAGATACGATTAGGCTCAAATCCCAACTAATATTATAAATGCGAAAGTAACTCTGTCTGTCTGTCTGTCTGTTACGCTTTCCCGCTTAAACCTCGCAACCGATTTTGATGAAATTTGGCATAGAGATAGTTTGAGTCCCGGGAAAGAACATAGGATAGTTTTTATCCCGGTTTTTGAAACAGGGACGCGCGCGATAAAGTTTTTCTGTGACAGACAAAACTCCACGCGGGCGAAGCCGCGGGCGGAAAGCTAGTAATTTATAAATTTTCCGCCTTCGGCCTGATCACCACTTACCATCAGGTGAGATACAGGCGACGAGCTTCCTCGTTGAGGATAAAAAAAAAAAAAAAATGAAGGGAGGTATGACATAACTCAACTTATTCCTTTACCTTCCATTTTAATAATTGCGAGTAAGAAAATAATCCTAGTGTCAATCTTCATAAGCAATATTAGTCTGATATGACTAAACTCGTATCTAATCATTTTTATTTTTTTGGGCAATCAGGTTGATTCAAACCGCAGTTCTGACTAGGAATAAATAGTTTTTACACTCTTTATAATTCTTATTATCAAGTTTTAGTTATGCTTTTCCGTGTGAGGCGTAACTGAGGTACTTAAAAGTAAAAAAAAAAAATAGGATAACAGTTTTTTAAAAGGAATTTCTTTCTTAATTTTCAATCTTTTACCATGGTGTTCAAACAGTCGTGTAGCCAGCCCTATTGAAGGATATCTATGGGGTTAGTTGACAGCTTTCAAGTCGGGATTAACTCCGTACTGCGGTGGAGCGAGAAAAAATTTAATAGCTTTTTTGAGGAGATTGTCCCCTGGGATCGTTTTGATATAGGCTGCGGACCTCGATCACTGCGCGAACATGACTAGTGCGAATTGTGTTTGGGCCCCGAACCCAACATCATAAAAACCGAGACCATTTAAAATTGTCCAAATACAACAATGCAATTACACTACTGCGATGATAACGGAATGACAATCTCTCTCTTTATTAATTGAGCTTATGTCAGGAATGTAAATAGTTCCTTATGAAGAATGACACAGAGTACTTCCTTAGCAGAATGAGTGGGCAGCTATCTGTGATTGCTATTAAGATTAAATTGTTCTTCTAACTACTAGGTATGTGCCTTGCCCAATGGTGGTTTTTATGAGACGCTACATGCAGATGATACGGCTAATGGAACGACCACTACTAGAACCATTAACCAAGACGGTATATGCCTAATGAGGAAAAGAATCGGCGAATTTTAAGTGATCTTCTGTACAACACTAGATACTGGGTTAGGTGGAAAATTCGTGTATTTTTTATGATTAAAATCAAATGTCGTAAGAGGCGACTTAGGGACTACACATCAAACAGAGAATGGGCAGCAGCGCTCTCTGAAAAACATCAATCTTTTAAACTGCGATCTCCAACCCGCCTGCCTAGCGTGGAGATTATGGCAAAACCCTCCACTATAGTGGAGGAGGCTCATAGTCCAGCAGTGGACTGTAAAGGGCTGTTAATGATGAAAATCAAATATCCTTGTTTCCCTGTCACGAATAGAATAATTTATTGTAGCCGCGGATTGTGATCGGCCCGTGGTGCTTTCATCCCGCCATTAATAACCGAAGAACAACAAACAATGTTTCGACAATAATGGCGTCAAACGCCGTGAATACTGATGCGCTATCATCAAATATTTATGAGTTTAACTTGTCATTCTAGATTGAAAAATATAAAAATTTGTCAATCAGTGAAATACTAAGTACTTAAAATGAAGTGGAAAGAACAGATTCTCCTTAATTTTTTTAAAGCCACAGGAAGAAATGCGACTGATCCAATGCTTCATTTATTTTTTGGCAACTTAGAATCAATATGGACACATTTTTTTCAGTTATAGACATTGCAATAAAAATTTCTCTTGATAATGCATATTACGAGTATTCCAGTATATTAGACAGTTCTAAGTAAACCTTTATTTATTTCAATAAATTCTCAATTTCTATTGTGGAATTTACAACCTTAAATGAACATAAATATTTAATTAAACATAAATTCAGCACTTCAACTATCAAAAGACAATGGAAGCGAAAGAATGGCCTGAAATATAAAACCGAAACGTTTCGTTCGAGCAAATATTGATAAAGTCCATCGGTTTAATGTTGACTGCCGCACAAATGAAGCAAATAAATACGGCTCACGGACTATTTACATTACAATTGAATTTGTTAGTTCGACGGGCAGGCATTAAATTGAAATTATCTTGTAAATTTTCAAGTAGGCAGCTCATTCAACACTTTTTGTTTGGATTTGATATTTCATCTACCCTTGTTATTTGGATAGAACTGGGGTTCTGACTTTATAAACTATACCTACTATTAAAAATATTAAACGCTGCGCCACGCACCGTTTATCTAATATCCATAATAAGTCTATTTAACTTTTTTTTTTTTTTTTTTTTTAAAAAAAAAAAAGTCTATTTAACTTTGAAACAATTGTAGAGCTCCAAGAAAAATGTTTTATAATCGTCATTAAACAAACAATCACCTTTGTTTACTTCTCTGTTTATGCGGCAAAAGCTACTGTTTTAAGGTTTTACGTTGTTGGCATTGTAGCCCTCTCTTTGAACTTTGACGGTGATTCCCTTTAGTGGCACAACAAAAATTCAAAACACAAAATAGTTTAGTTTAATAAATCGACTGACCTGATGGACAGACGCAGTCTCCGTAGTCTCTGATGCTCCTCCTCGGCCTCCAGTAACTAGGTGGAGGTCTCGCGAGCACCTCCCGCCGCAGTCTCTCCACCAGGGGCTGCTGCGGCTCCAAGACTGCACTCCTCAAGGCTAAATGCTGCTCCTCAAGCAATGACAGTCTGTCCTGCAAGCCTTGCTGCTTGTACAAGCTGTAGCCGCTCGAGATCAGGCTCATAGCACAAGCACACCACAGCACTATACAATACGCCCACGGGTCCCCGGGACATCTGTCCTCGCAAGGGGTGAATGTCTTCTTTCCATTTTTTTCTTCCTTCACTCGCTCCTGCACTTGAGGCTTCACGCCCTGAGGCGGCTTTATTTTCAAAATCATTTTGATCGAACTTTACGGTATATTGAGGGACATCTTTGTTTTCATTAAGTCCAGGTGTATATGGACCGGTACATTGTCACAATAGCGCGTCCAGTACGACGCTTTTCACGTTAACAACCTTATTGTCCAAAAATCGGATTCGTAACACAAAACCAAAATCACATTAAACCAAACAAATACAAACGGTGTAAGGAACTGAAAAATAATAGAGGGTTTTGGGGATTCCGGGGTAGGGTGTCGAGTGATCGTATTGGAGTTCGTAGCTTTCGCGCGCGAGCGACGTAAAGGCGTCCTCTCGGGTCGACAGGCAGCGTGCCACTGGCGGCGGCTCGCGCTGCAACGTTAACTTTGATATGGGGAACATTTGGGAATTCTCGTTTAAGGATACACTTCCACGCGTGTCCTTTCTTTATTGGAGTTAGCGATTCGAAACGTTTGAAGAAAAACTTGTGTATTCAAGTGTTGTCTTAAACGGTATGGTATGATAGCTGGGATGGATGGAATGTGCTTTATGAGTCTTATTGATGGAAGGCATCGAGGGGACGCAAAAAGCTGTTTCGTGGAATTGACAACTCGCGCGGAAGGCCGGGGGTAGCGAATCCAGTTAGCTGGGACGGGTCGGTGATGAGTCGGTCGATAAACTGAGTGATTCGACTAAACGAACAAACGCACATGCTTTGATGATATGGCTGAAGGGACAAATTGGATGGTACTTGGGCTTAATTGATTTACACTGGATTATAGCTATGTAAACACATAAGACGGTTTACGTTGGGAGCTGCCTTTTGCCGGTAGTTGGGTGTGTTTACATTGTCACGTTTATGGGTCGTGTAAACTGAGACATAATCAAATTGTTCTACTCGTGTTTCGCGGACAGTGAGTGGGATAATTTTAACGTTTAAATTCTAGTTAGAATATTTAAGTAGGTGACTCACAACAGCAGATATAAATTATTTAAATAAGTTGAACTGTTACTCTGTAGAGGCAAAGAGATTATTAAATTGAATTTGATATAGTGCAAAACGTTAGGAGTCTTGAGCCTTTACTTAATCATGTAAATAGTGAGACGTAACTTATATGACTGAAATAAATCAAACTTTGAATTTATTCTCTTACTTTTATTCTTACTCTTATTTTTTATTTCTAAAACACAAGATCCTATGAGATACCTACGCAGTAACTTTTGTAGTTTGGTTTCAACAACTGAGGATATGACCCTGATGTTAAACTTTATGAGCCGCCAGAGCCAACTGAATTACCTTTATTTGGCTTAACGTGCTCTTCAAAAAACGGAACAGATAATTAGATGTTTTAAAGCATGCAATAACTTAAACAATTTCAAAACACAAAGTGATTTTCTCTAACCACTATCTAGTTCATCTTTAACTAAAACCCTTTAAATTCTTTGGTTGACACTTTGTTTACCTACGTAGGTAGGCACCCAAACCGAGCGTGAATTATTATTATTATCCAGTACAGTAGCAGGTAAATCAAAATACAATAACCTTATAAAAATGTTTCTGTAAGATAATTCTAACAAATAACACTACCCCACATACAAAACATCCAAGATCCCAATCGACATTAATTAAATTTGTACTTAGAAAAAACATGGATATTTTTTAAACGATAGACCCTATTAATCTCTTTAATAGAGTCATTAAAAACGGAGTGGCGGCCGCAAGCGCCACAAAAAATGAAACACTCCAGTCGGTGCATTTGGGTCTTTGTAATAAACTACTCATAATAAAATTAACCCTCCCACAAAATGGTGGTCTTTAAGACCAAAGCGTTAAAAATGTTGTAATGGAGTTTTATGACAGAGCAAACGCAATAAGAAAGTTTTTTGTGATAACTGTCATAATATTTGTAACCTTGAGCGAGTGGTGCGGTCGTCGAACTAAGATACAAATAAATCTATTCAAGATTATTTTTATTTCTACATAATTATGTTACTTACATATTAACATCCGATGTCTGGAGTTTTTGTTATAATAAAATTTTAAATGTAAAGAAATACTGCGAATCGGATGATCAAATCTTCGAAATGAAATACGTAAGTGCTATGTTTAGTTTTACATATTATAACTTTAAAAAAATGTGCTATCCTTAAAAATAATATACATAATATAAAAATAGATAAATCATAGTAATTTTAATAATAGGATGTCCTTCTGCTGAGCTCTTTTGAAAATAGGCCTATAACACTATAATATATAAATCATACAAATAAGTATAACTTGATCAACGCGGTCATGTTAGTTTGTGTTATGACACAGCAAGCACACGGTTGGAAGATGACTCCGATACAGACGCATACCCGCAGCACTCGCTATCAATGCGCACTGCATCTAAACAGCCATTACATTCTTTATCGACGTTATTTACGACGCCATTGCGCCTGTTACGACCGCTTAATTGGCTTTTATAAAGTTTGACGACAATAAATACTGAAATATTAACGCGGATTCAGTTATCACCCCTTGGAGGAGCTTCATTTTGTTAAAATTTCAACATCCTCATAGAGGCAATCACTATGAAAAGCTTTGCCTTGTCAGTATAATATTAATTTACTGGATGATGTAGTGCAAATACACAATAGCAATTGAACTACTTTTCATAAGATTTTGTTTTTACTCACATGAAAATAACTTTTATGACTTAATAGCCATATATTATCTTGGCGTTAAAATTTAATTTAAACTTTTGTGCTTCATGAAACACGGAGTTCAAGACCCCCTCCGTTGACAGTTCAGTTTTTTTAATCTGCAGTCTTTTGAATAATTGAGAAGCCGGGTCGCGAGCAGTTCATAGAAAATTCCCGGGAACAACTAAAAGTTTGGGCAATGATTACAAGTGAAGGTTGCCAGGGGAAATCTAAGAATTAACGTTATAAGCTTGTTCCAGTTGCGAGTTAACGTTGAAGTTTTCCTTTTCGGAGCATTATAAAGATGAACCCTCACAAGTCGTGTTCATTCTTGTGTACGCCCGATAAAAAATTTCTCGATTAAAAAGATCTCTGTCGGTTTTTTCCACTTTTTATTATTGCTGGAAGACTTAAAAAAAATTGAACTTTGTATTGATGTACATATTGGATATTAATTAATTGAACCCAATTGATTTATTTGATTTGGTCTGTTTTTCTTTTCAGGAGATAAGTCCTTCCATTTCATTAGTCTGCTAAGGTCGAACCAACGAGTATCAATCAGTATTTTATGAACCTCAGAACCAGAAATATTACAGTACCTAATGACTGTTATGTTTAATTAAATTCACATTCATGGGCTAATGCTTATTACTCCCCCAGTTCCCTCTGAATTCCAACAGCTATAAACTACTGTTGTCAAACTAACCGAGGCGCAAGTAACGCCGCTGCAACGCCGACCGATCCTCGTTAGACGGTAAACAAGAGTCGTTCAGAGGCAGCGACACTCGGAGCCGTGTGGAGCAAGCTTCCCCACTTTGGAGCTGTCAGTGGTACATAATATTTGCCATGCTCTGCATTGTTTGGCGTTTATAATTTGGACAGCACGTGTGTGGATGGCGGATTCAAGTAAGGTGATACGACACACATACGATCTACCTATTCCTACCAACACACCAGGAACACTTTATTTTGAATTCACACTGCAAATTATGACCACTTTGCGCTTCTGCACATAGCACTGCCGGTAATAACTTGTAATCTACCTACGCCCCTAACTGGATGCCTGTTCTTTGCGAATATTGGTTGAAGCTATCTTCTATTTAAACTACTTTTCCATAGAGCATAAGAGTGTAGAATCTCTAAATATTAGGTGCATAATATAATTTATTTGTTCCCGATAGCACCGAGGCAGACGGTTGAGTGCGTCGTCGCAGAATATTACCTCCATCGAGAAGTGCTTGTAAATTTCGAGAAGCTTGCAGAAAATTTTGAAGCTTCTGCGATTTATGGGTGCAATGTTCTTTATGTCCTCAACTTTTTAATTCTTCTTTTGTATGGATTTCACAATGGATATGAAGCAAAACAATGATATTAATAGAAGTTTTAATGAGTTAACACTAACAATGCATGCCGTTCTCATAATGTTACGTGAAGTAATTTAAACCTTTCTATAAGAATTAATTAGATTGGGATCTATACGATTACATGGAATAATAAAACGAGACATGATTTTAATCCCGATTTAATTAATCCTACTGCTAGTGGCTTAGCTGATTATCAATATTAATTTAATTAATTATTATACGTACCCAGTTTCATTTGATATTATTTCACAAGTAAAATTATAATGAAATTAGATTCTGTATTACGTAAATATGCAATAAAAGAAGTAATTACCATAATTTTATTAGCCTAAGTGCAAATCAGAACAATTAGAGCACAATTTGATGTGATCTGAATCTCAAATGGCTGATCGTAATCCCTTAGTGCTGTAATACAGAAGTTAATGGAGACTTCCGGTGTCGATAGAGTTTATCGTTTGAAAACTTTTTTATTTACAAGAATTTAACCGTACATGTGCGATTATTATTGTTGAGAACATTAAATCAGTATTTACAGTGTAGGTGAGAATTAATGTTAACCAATGAGAGTTATTATTAACATTTTTACTTTTATTTCTTTCATTCTAAAGAAACATTTAAATTTGAAATTGGATTATAAGTAGCTATTACAATTTGGCCAACATTAAAAGCCCGATATGTGTTGGTCCTTCGAAGCATCATGTTTTAATTGCGGTCTAATTGTTTGTGCGTCCCGATCAAAGATTAACGGAAATGATAAGTTTGGGATAGCTCACGATATAACGTAGGTTGATAAAGAAAGATTAAACAAGCCCAAATAGACCAGGAACATTTTGGGTATCGAAGAAGCTTCAAGCTTCGATCGGACAGAGGATTTATTTTCTCGTTGCGTTTCCCAGGCATTTATTGTTGGAGTGTGATTTTCCTTTTCTAAACTACTTTAACGAAGACGATTTTTTCGTTTAGGCTCCCACTAGGATTATTTATAGGAT